AGAAACGGAATCGTACAGAAATCAGAGTTTAGATATTCGGAACAGACCCAGAATCGTATCAAGAATCATACAGAAATCATATGCATACAGATAGATTGAATTGTACAGAAATAACAGAATCAGATTCCATATCGTAATAGAAATCAGAAATCAGATTTGCTTCCAGAACAGATACGGAATCAGATCATATAAAATCAGATATAGATATTAATTTAATTTATTAGCTAATGCCTGAACACTCGCATGGAATCTCGTATTTGGATTCGGCCCCTTTTATGTTCTTCCCAGACACTGCCTGAATCTCATAAGTCCAGGCCCCTTATGCCGTCCTGTTGTGCTTCATATGGACAGAACAGATGTGCTTATAACACCCGAAGAAAATTCATGACGGATCCGGAACAGAACAGATATCGAGATTTATGATTTGAGCTCATTTCAGATTTCCCGAGAGCAACTAACTGAATTCTTAGGATCCAGGCCCCTTTGAATCCCTTTTTTAAGCATATACCAGATAGCATACGTCAATTCAGAAGAAATCCCGCCAAGATCAGAAATCAGACTAAAAATCGGGCGCCAACGCGCAGTTAATAGAAAACGAAATTTAAAGCACAATTTTTCGTAAAGGAATGTTACAATTTACCTAATTTTGCACAGCAAATGTACGTTACCAACATTTTCAAATAATTTATTCTAACTGCAGCAGACAATTTCAATTACACAAGAAAAATCCAGTCAGCATTAAAAACATCGTCGAAGTCAGAAAAGTACGCGGAAAAAATCTTCAGAAAATATACCAAGAATGTACACACTACCGGCACGTAACAGTATAGCAGAAAGTTACGCGGTAAAATTGAACAATCGAAAGATAACGGACGAAAAATCACTAAGGAAAATAAATTCCGGACAGAAAAGACCGCCAAACAAGACGGGTCGTGAAAATTGACGAAAGGCGGAATTGTGCCTTACTGCGTACAGCAATTTTCTGAAATTCGTCGGACGTAAAACAGCTCGCGTCGTCGAAAATCAACTTTCCAAAAAAGGCTTTTTACTATTTTGCTCTCTCCTTCTCATAAAAGCAGATATTTTGTTTTTGATTTTCTCTCTCTTTCAAAACGACTGATTTCAGCTTTATAAAACTCAGATCGGCCGGCCGATCGCTTCAGATCGTCCATGGACGATCAGCAAAATTTTGATCGTCCTGGACGGTCCCAGAATATTTTCCGGCCGACTATTTTAATTTTAGTGCCATGGCGCCTGGCCGAATGCTCGTCGGCTGGATGATGCCTACAGAAAAACACCTGGACACATTGGGCAAATTCCTGGAGCATTTGCTCAA